CCATGTCGGGCTCTGTGCTGACAGCTCAGAGCCTGGAGCCTGCCTCAGGTTCTGTGTCTCCCTCTCTTTCTGCCCCACCCCCCACCTGCACTCTGTCTCTATCTCTCAGAAATAAATAAATGTTAAAAAAAACTTTTGTTAGAAGAAAATAAATATCTTTATAGACTCAAGGCTAGGAAGGATTTCCTTCAAAAAGTCATTAAAAGTACCAGATCATTAAAGGAAAGATTTAATCTAGTGAACTGCACTGAAATTAAAAATGTTTAACAAAAGATAGCATAATGACAATAAAAACACATGGACAAGGTAGGAGGCAGTATCTGTATCTCATCGAACCAGCAAATCGGCTACTATGCAAATGAAGAAGAACCAACACAAATCAGTAAGGAAAATACAAACAACCCAAGAGACGTACAGAAGACTCATCAGGCGTCACCAAAAAGGGCCCATGGATTGCTAACACCCACATGAAAAGATGCTCATCTTCATCAGTGACCAGAGGGACGCAAATGAAGGCCAGAACGAGAAGAACACTGACAGCCATTAGATGGGCACAATTAAGGAGTGCGACAATAGGGGCGCCTGGGTGGCTCAAGTGGTTAAGCGTCCGACTCTTGATTTCCGCTCAGGTCGTGATCTCACGGTTCGGTTCGTGACTTTGAGCCCTCCATCGGGCTTTGCGCAGATAGCACAGAACCTATTTGGGATTCTCTCTCTCTCCCCCTCTCTGCCCCTCCCCGCCCCAAGAATGAATGAATGAACGAATGAATGAATGAATAAATAAACAAACATTTTAAAATTTGTTTAAAAAAAGGAAGTGTGACAATGGCCAGTGTGGAAGAGAATGTCTATGCATGTGATTAATTTTATAGGCCAAGTTGACTGTCACAAAGTGCCCAGGTATTTGATCAAACACTATTCTGGGTTTTTCTGCAAGGGTGTTTTTGAATAAGATTAACATTTTCATCAGTAGATTGCCTTCCACAATGTGGGAGGATCCTAATCGAATCAGCTGAAGATACGGACAAAATAGCCAACCCTCCCCCAAGCAAGAGAGAATCCTCTTTCAGCCGGCCTTCAGGAGGGCCTGGACTGTAGCATAGTGTCTCCTGGCCCAGACTGTAGATTTGGGCATGTCAGTCTCCATAACCACATAAGCCAATTCCTCGAAATAAATCTCTTTCTACAGATACACACATCCTATTGGTTCTGTTTCTCTGGAAAACCCTGACTAATACAATGCACACAATGGAACACTATTCAGCAGTAAAAGGGAATTTGCAGATTACTTACGATTCTCTTTTTATAAAGCTCATAAACAAAAAGTGAATACATTGGTTATACATGCATACATAAATATTCTTTTTTAAGTTAAAAAAATTTTTAAATTTAAAATAAAATAATTAATTAAAATAAAAAAAATTTTTTTTAAAAAGGCAGGGTTAATGAGGGAATGATAAAATATCCTGGAATACCTTTACCCACTGGCAGGAAATACCTACTAGGAGCTTCCCTGTGGTGCAGGACTGTTAAATTCCCAAGCTGGGAGGCTGGCTTCAAGGTCATTATTATGCTTCAAAACTTGCACAGACCAGTCTAGAAGCTGCCATCTGACCCGAAGCCCAGGGTTCAGAGCACTCAAGCCTTCCCTCCCCCTCATTTCAAGAACACTGGTCCACTTATTTTGCATGTGGAAGAGGAAGGGAGAGGTCAGACATTATGGCTGGGCTAACCCCTCGAAGAGAGGGTACAGAACCGCGGGCACCTGCCAGGTTACCCACGCTGCCACTGGCCCTCAGCAATCTGGACGCTGCACTCAGTTCCCGGTACTTGTACTGCTCCTCTGGCCAGTGAGGTGGCTCCTCGCGGTAACAATCGTCTCCACCACCCAACCCCAGGAATTCATTCCTGGTTCCTGCAGGGTGAGGTCAGGAGCCACACCTGGTGGTGAAAGGCCAGTGGGAAGTCCTCGGGACAAGTGGTCACATGCTCCAGACAGAAGACAAGCACAGGGCCAGCTCACTGGACAGACACTGCCACAGCCACTCCTCTGGCCCCTCTCCCCATGCACCTGTCACGTCCTGTCACATCCACAGGATCATCTGGGGGCTCACGGTTGTGAAGGAACAGGGCTGCAGGCGGGCCTCCCTGTCGTGCTAAGAACGACAACTTAATGTGCTTGCTGCCCGCTTCGGGGAAATACTTCCGTATTTATGTAGATTCCTCCTATGACCATTTTACTTAGAATTTCATCAGGATTAGCTATTGGATTTTATTACATGCCTTTTAAACGTCTGCTAACACAGTCAACGTAGGTTTTAATTTTATGTAGTGAATTGGTCAGCAAAACATTGAGTACTTACCAGGCACCAAGCCCTGTTCTCATCACCGTGGACGTATTTATCCCACATTTAGCCCTTACGTCAACCCTGTACGACGGTGCTGTTCTTGTGCTACTGATTTTACAGATGACACCAAAGCTCAGGAGATTTAAATAACTCAGCCAAAGTCAGAGAGTTAACAGACGTCAGGACTGGAACACAACATGCTCCTAAGCCCTGAGCCAGAGCCTCCGCCGGCTGACACACTTCCTGTTAGGCTACCCTGTGCTCCCGTAATAAACCTTACTTGGTCATGGAGAGTAAGGCTTTTTTTCTTTTTTTTTAATTCAAGTACAATTAACATACACTGTTATTATCAGTTTAGGATGTACAATAAAATGATTCAACAATTCTGTACATTTCTCAGTGCTCATCACCATAAATGTACTATGCATCCCCTTTATTTCCCCATCCCCCAGCCCACCTCCCCTCTGTAATCTTTTATTACACCACTATATTCAAATTACTGTTCTAGTTAGAAATATATTTAGAAATGTTCCAAATATATATAAACATACATATGCATACACACACAGGAAATTGGTCTATAGTCTTCTCTAGACCATGGATGGAAGAGGAAATCTACACACTGTGAAGAGACAGACACATAGGACTACATAAAAATTTTTAAGCTTTATGGAAAAAGACATCTAAACAAAGTAAAAACAAATTATAGGAACAACAGCCAGAGGGACATATTTGCAATTCATATAACAAGGGATTTATAGCCCAACGTACAGAGCTCCTAAAAACCGAAAAGCAAATTCAATAAAAGAAAACAAATGGACAAGGATTATGGATTAAAAAAAAACTCCTAGAAGAAATACAAACGGCTAATAAATATGTGTAATGTTCCTCAGCCTCACCAGTACTCAGGAAAATATAATACAACAATGGGATGCTATTTTCACCCATCAGATTAGCAAAAGACAAACATCTAGCACCCGGTGGAAATGCCCAGAAAAGGCACACAAGTCACACGCTGTTGCTGTAATTATGTCCTACAAAAAGGCTGAAGCAATTCAATCCGGCCCAACTACCGAAAACTACTGCCGTGGGAGATACCCAGAATACGGCATTCACTCACTCACTCATTCGACAACAAACACGTACAACACACAGAGCACTTTGTCAGAGCTCTGTTTCTCAGACAGCTTAAATTCAGGAGTCTGTAAACTAAAAGGAAGTGAAAACAGCCAGTTGCTGAGCGGTGCCTACAGTATGTTCCTGCTTTTATTAAAACATGCTCTGATGTCTGTGAGAGCCTAGAGAAAGTTGTGGAAGGCTCGGCTATACCAGGTCAGTGCTGGTTTATCTCCACAGTGTTGTGACTGGAAGTTTACCACCGCCTGGACATGTATACATCTTTCTGTTTCGCTTGGCATGAACATAGAGTAACAAAGGCAGTAACCTGTAACTTCGAAAAATCTAAGAAAGAATATTATGGCTTTGGTTTACACACAACAAAAGAACAGCACAAAGTCCACGTCGGCTTGGGGCACAGAGCCCAGAGTCCACCCCCTGTCAAGCCAACGGGTGCAAAGCTGGGCTCTCTGCTCCGGGATGACACTGTGTCTCCTCACTTGAATTCACCCACCCACACAGGGGGCATCTCAAGAAGACTTCGCCTCTCATACAGTGAGTTTTGGGAGGCAGGCTGGAAACATGGCTTGAACTCTTGAGTTCCTATGGATGACATGCTACATATTTTTAGCCTCTAGAAGTTCAGGTGAACTCATCTGAGACACATACAAAAGTGTCTCTGCATCCTGGATGCATCCTGGCCCTTGTTAACGTATTATCCCACTTCACAGGGCACCCTGCAAAGCCTTTCCCAACAGGCTGCTCCTTGCCCAGCACCCATTTCTCCCCCTTCTAGCTACGGCATTCCAA